CCGGCACAGCGCCGTGCAGATACGAGGTGCTCGTGGGTAGGTGCGGATGCGTGCAGACAAAACAAGTTAGCCACTGTTTTACACGTACCAACGAAGACGACGCACCCATGTACATGATCACCACGCATTCTCATCTGGACGGAAGTCAGATCACGGTCAAATTGGTGGATTGCGTCATTGGGGCTTGGGGCTTGAATTTGGAAATGCGAAGCGATAGGCACTTGCTCGGAGTAAGGGAAAGAGCTTGAGATTTGCGGGAATTGGAGGAGACGAGGGAAGAATAGAGAGGGACGAGAGGCTTGAGGGCTTCAGTACAAGTGGCTTGCGCGACATCGGAAGACAAAAGCGGGGAGAGTGGGGTTTTAAGATCTTTACGGGCTTGCAGAGGCGGCAGAGACTATTTGAGGAATGCTTGAAGTGAGCAGACGGTGTGTACAAGAGGACGAAGGGAGGGCGAAAAGAGGGGAGATGGGGGGAAAAGGCAAGGGACACGTCAACCATGCCGTTGTTTGCTGTCAAACAATCACGCCATCGTGCACGTGGCACGTCGGACTTTAAATGACTTGTGTGTTTTTCTTTCTGTGGATTTCTGGGTGAAAGCAAAGGCGCAAAGGAACTGCTCTTTCCACTCAGATACCATTCCGCTGGGCATCGCCCGTTGTACTCTACCAAAGGAATCCAGAACAAGATTATTCTGTGGGTGCCGGTATCTTGCCGGTTACCGAGCGCTACCAGTCCATACCCGGCGGCTATCAGCAGCTATGGATCCGAGATCTGCGGCTACTCGGCGCAACCAGAGCTACCAGGGCTACTGAGCACTGGCAGGCGGCTACCAGGGCTATCGGCCCAACATAATCTTGTGAGCAGCGACATAGCAAAATCTTTTTTCCTGATGTACGTTCGGAAACGGATAGAATAAGCTCGAACAGGGAGAGTCAAGACCAAGGCGGGACCACAACAGCTGTATCATGCTATGGTTAGCCCATGTCCGAGTCGGCCGTGGGACTCGTTTAGCGTTGCCTAGCTGAAGGCCTAGAAATATTGGATACGGGGGCGAGTCGTGGCCTATTCTTGGTGATTGACCTCGACCCACGTTTATCTGCCGTCCATGTGAAAGTCAGTGCACCAATTGAGAATTACCGCTTTAAAGCCTGATCAACATTTCAGTACCCAGCCGCCATCTGTCACTCGGGTCCCGGTCGTACCAACCACCGTGATTGGGTTCTGCATAGCCTGTGTAGCTCCGCTCTCAGCGGTATTGGACGGAGAAATAGATCGGCCCTCACTACTTTTACCACAGATGCTTGACCACAGGTTTGGTGATCCCGTTCGGCGGCTCTGGTGGACGCCAAAAAAAAAACTGTAGGCGAGGTTGCGTAGCGCTGGGCGTATTTGGAACAGGGAAGGAAATGGAGCCAGGCGAACAAGTTGGAGGTATTCCGAAAGCCTGGATGTAAGGATAGGACTCAGTAGGCATCGGAATCGAGGGGCAAGGAGGTACAAAAGCAAGATTGGCGGATCGTGCTGATTGATGACGCGGCTCCAACGTGGCTCCGCTGGCTCAGTGCCCCCTACTTGCACTCCTCAGTTCACCCGGGCATGCAACAGCTGCTCCCCAAAGAGGCAGGGATGCAACCGCGGCGGTGCGTTCGTGCCTACCAGTTTAATCTGTAACCGGGACACAGGTCTATTGCTCGTAGCCGCCGTGCTGTGGTAAAAAGGGATGCCACGCGTTTCTTGATAAAACACTCCCGCCCAGGACATAGGATTCAGATCGGGAGTCAGCATTCAATACCGAACTCCCACCGGCAGCTTCAGAGTTGATGGTTCAAAAACCTGCCGGCCTGAAAAGCCATCCTGGGAACGAGTTCACGTTTTGCGGGTCAGATTCGAAATATCGATCACACATACAGAGCCAATTTCGCAATGGCAAGCACACATACTGAGCCGGCTTCCCGGATTCCCCAACGACAATTTTGACAACTCCGCCCTGCTAATTGCAATCAATCTATGCACGCGGTTCTTGATAAATCACATACGATTCAGATTGGGAGTCAGGACTCAATACCAAATTTGTACCTGCAGCTTCGGAGCCTGTGGTTAGAGTTCTGCGAAACCGGAAAGTCGTCAGTTCACGTTTTGCGGGTCAAATTTACCGTTCCTGTTGAATCACTGGTTGGAGTAGGTGATGATGAATAACAATCGCGCCTTCAATTGCCGAATTCAAGGTCGTCGGGTGGTGCGTTCTGCAGGCAACAGTTCGTTTGGCTCCAGGTATTCCTGGACATTTTTTCTCTGCCCTCCGTTGACAGGGTGTGGTCCTTCGGGACGACCACGTGGCGGGTCGTCGGCAATTGTCCGAGAAAATTGAAGCGCAGTGAAACTGATTAGCCTACTTCCCTTAGTCACGTTGAACTGTACCACCGAATGCCTGAACGAACCAACATCCTCAGAATATTTCGCAGACAGACAGAATGCATTGATCCTCGGAGACGAATCCGCGAGTTGTACTTCGCTTGAACGAGGCCGATAGAACGGGTGTGAGCAGTCAATCCGCCAGAGTGCGATCACAGCAGAGTCGCAGCTTCAAACTCCACTTTGGAATGTGGTAGACTCGAGACTTCGGCGCGGATAGAGACGCTAGATGCAGACGAGCGGTCCTCGGATGCTGGCGCATAGACCGCTGGCTACTGGCTGGAAGAGCTGTCGGTACGGCGACTAGTACGCTGCAGTAGACGCGAAAACAAACCAAGCATATGCGAGAAACGTTAGCACCATACAGCAGCGCAAAAAAGGCGGATGTCCGTCCGCAAGTCTAGCTTGAGGCTTCCGGGAGGGCTTAAAAATCACGCAACCCCAACTGTGATGCAGAATCTTCGACTTCGTTGGATGTACCAAACTCCTTGTGACACGGAAGGGTACCAAGGGATTCCACAGCCAGGCGCGCGTCGACAGCCAGGCGCGCATCGAAGTCTGCAGCCAGCGCAAGCACGCGGAGAGGGGGTAATTAGGTAGCAATGTGGAGAGCAAAACCGTACCAAAGCAACCAGAGAGCAGAGAGCCAGAATCGATCAAAGATAAGTCGTCAGAGGGACATCGATCTCCTGAGATAAATTCGCGAGACAAAAGCAGAACTAGCCCAGGCAGGATCGCCCCAGGCACTGGCAGGAAATGGAGATGAAAGGAGTTTAGCGTATGAGATTCTTCGTGAGTTCGACCGTAGAATGAATCCGACCCGGCGATCCGAAATACGTCTGAACCGTGCCAGAGAGTCAGAGACTGGCAGCCCACCGCCGGAGGTGGTGAGTACTTGAGCATACCAAGCCGCATAGCTTCACGTTGCATTGATAACTCGAGAGTACTGCCAAAGTCCAGCCGGCGTTGAACGGTAGCGAGCACGCCAGAGCTCCATGAGGGTCGAGGAAGAAAGGCTGCAGCGTGGCGATGCATGGACGCATCAACAAATATCACCTCCGAGTCGGTCCGCCGGTCCGCCGCCCATTGTTCTCCCACATCGCCATTGTCTCCCTCAAGCGCTCGGTGGCCCTAGCCTTGTACTATAAAGCCATGCTAGGTCTTGCTAGTACTACCAAGCACTCGCCCCGCACGACACGACCCTCAGGACTGGTTCCTTACTTTTTCTCCATTTTCACTTTCAAGAGCATTTATGATTCACGAACGCACATTCCCTCTTCATTTCACCTAATCTCTTACTTGACCGTGACGCTCCTACATACCAACGAACGAACCTACGATGATGCTTTCCTCGATCCTCAAGTCCACTGTGGTCGTGCTGGCACTCGCTTTGCACGCCAACGCCCACGCGATGGCCACGCCCGCGCTCGGTGTCTCGGGTGCCCCCAAGCGCAGCGACACGCAGCGCCCGTCCACAAAGTCGCCCTGTGGCAGCGTCGACATCGCGTCTAACCTCGACAAGGCGGCGGCTGTCCCTGTCGAGGACGATGGCACCACCGTCAATCTGAATGTCACTAATTTCAATGCGTGCCTCTCCTTCTCTCTCGTCGTTTCACTCTGATTGACGTGGCGTGCAGCGGCGGGGACGGCTCGCGCTCTGTCTCGGTGCTCGTCGACCCCACGGGCACGGGCAAGAAGTTCGTCGCGGCGAAGGTTACCAAGAACGGGAATGCCGTGCGTCTCTCTTTCATTCTCTTCCTCTCTCCGTCCAGCTAACTCGCACGCCCCTAGAACCCGAAGACGGACGGCACCGACGTCGTCACGCTCTCCCTGCCCGCGGGGACCCAGTGCACGGGTGGCACGGATGGGAACCGGTGTCTCCTCGTACGTTCCCTTCTCGTCCCTCCCTCTCCCATCCCCTCCCTCCCTCTCCCGTTCGTTACCGCTGCCTTTTTGATTCTTCACATTCTTCCCCTTCTTCCCTCGTACGATCGCCGGCTAATTCACGCCCATGCAGTCCGTAAAATCCACCGCCGGCTTCGGCAACTGCGTAGTCATCGCACAGACCGCCGCCTCCTCTGCCGGTGCCTCGCCCGCCATATCCTCCTCCCCCGCATCTTCCTCCACTGCGGCCGCCGTCCCCAGCGCTAGCGCCAGCGCCAGCGGCTCATCAAAGAGCAAAGCCAAAGTTCCCTGCAGCAGCAACCGCAAGCGCCGCGCAATCGGCACGCGTCTCCCGCGCGCTTTGCGCCTCGCTGCGTCTGCGTCGGGGGCTGGGTCTGAGGGCCTGCACCCCCATCCGTTTTTCGCGAGTACGCCGCTTTGAGGTTGGACGGGGCTTCGGCGCGGGGATGGGTGGACTATCGTGGGACGCGGGGGACGCGGGGAGTGATTATGGACTGCACGACTGTAGATATTGATAGTAGAATAAGGTGCTGTATTTCTGGCATCGCGTTGTCTTTGTAATGTGACTTCTAGTATCTGTATTTTTCTCGTTTGGCAAAAGTGTCGGTGCGCGCCTGCCACCCGCTACGAATGGGCCAACAAAAGGCTAAGAAAAAAAAAGAGCCATCCTTCGCTATGCACGCCCCAGGCGGGATTCGAACCCGCATCGTCCCCATAGACATCGACGCGACTATGAACTTCTGGCGGAGGATCTTCCAACTGATCTACCAGGGCAACAGAACACTGGTTTAAATTCAAGTTGACATTCACACTGCGACGCGTCCATTACTCAAATAGAAAATCGAACAGGATACAACACTGAGAGAGGGTCCCAGGAAAAGGAAAAAAACACGCAGCTGAAGCCTTTGGCACGCCCCCGCCAAAAGTCGAACCCGTGTCATCCGCTGAAACGCTTCAAGTCGTGGATTTAGAGTGGAGGATCCACCAACATCCACCGAGGCTTAGAAGGACCTAGAGGTCTGTTGGGCGGGTACATCGTCAGTACAAGTAAGTACCATTTTAGCCACACTTCAGGTTTGCAGCCAGACGTTGGTTGAAATTTGGCAACATCCCAGACACAGAGGCAGTGGCGCCGGCAATGCGTGCCGATGTGTATACCGCACTCTTCTTTGCCAATTTCGTCCCTAGTAATCTAGGTTCCGGTCAGACGCTCTCGGCCGACTCGTTTCTTAACTCCACTGAACATTGACCAGTTTTGATGGCGCATCAATTATCATTGATCGCGCGTCAATCTTCACTTCCTCAACCGCTTCAGAACGTTGAGTCCCGTTCATTACCTTCACTTTTATTTAATGTTGTGCTACCAGTGCTATGAATCGAAACCAAAGCGTATGGCATAGCTCGTGCCGGCAACGGAGATGATCCCTGTTTGCTGAGATAATTCTTTACCCCGTACTAAGATCTTCGTAAGTGGAGGAGAAGAATGCTCGTAGAACGAGTTCGCACGATAAATCAGATCAAAACAGGCGCCATTTCAGAAGAGTAATATACATGGACATCCAAAATACACGATGGAGTCCAGAACGGCCATGACTGTGAAGGTTTTGGTAAGCGGGCTGCATTCAAGTCAAGGAAGGCATACCTTGGAGAAATCACTTCACGGGAGTTGCTGGAGCATCTTGATGTCCCGTGTGAAACGGTCCAGGATACTGACCCGTGTGAAACGGTCCAGAATACGGACCCGTCTGAAACGGTCCAGAATACTGACAAGAGGTTTCAAGTTCAAGACACATTTAATGGGGTCTGTGCAAGAGCCACTTACCGCATCCTGGAAGCATGTTGTTGAAGTATTTGAGTTTCACCATTACTGGCAAATGACTCACAACCTAAAGCGAGAATGTTGAGATGCAGCGTCAAGGTAAGTTGAAAGTCGCTCACGTCCTAAACGAACAGTAAATTTGGGAGTCAACATCCAATACCAATTGGGCACGGTGAAAGTGCCGCCCCAAGCCGCCTCGAGCCGCCGACTGCCGCCCCTGCCGCCCTCTGGCGGAAACAAGGGCCGCCCCCAAGACGGTTTTGGGGGCGGCACCTTTTGTCACGCTGCGGCCCACTGGAGTAGTAACTGCCGCCGACGTGAAAGTTGTGTTCAATATTCAGGATGTGTCTCGTCAGCGGCAACACAGCCACCATGCGGTGAGATGGCGGTCGCTGAAGTCAAAGGTCGTGAAATGAGTTTTGGGATTGATCCAGGAACTGACCCTCACCAAGCTGTAAATCATCATAAATGAGAAGAGAGAGGCTCATTTCTTGCTTCAAGTCAACTGTTTGAAAAAAATGCTAATCCCGCTGGCGAATACCGCCGAAACTACTCAAGGTTGGAAAATTGGGATTCAAATTTTTGCGTCAAACCCGATGCCTTTAGCATTCATGACATGCACTGACCAGCAGAAACGGTCAAAAGATACGTCCGAGATCATTTATGCCGCGATGTTCAACTTGAATTGTTTTGATGACAGACAACACCTGCATTGCTACTGAGACTCCGAAATTTCAGCCATACTATTTTCGACTGCCTACCGGGCCGAACTAGGCAGTGGGCCATTAGCATCCTACAGAGCGCTACGATGCAGAACCTTTGTATTTTGCGACTCGAGGGTGGAATACGACCTATGAGTGTGTTGTGTGTCAAATTTGGAGCCAAAGTGATTCGGTGATCAAAAGCTGTGGCCGGCTTTCTCCAAGACGCCGGCATGGGATCCCCGGTTTCTTATCTCCGAACGGCCATTCCGCTCGTCTTTCAGCTGTCCCTCGCCCAATTCTTCACCGATTCCCAAGTTTGGGGCCTTGTTATAATCCTACAAATCTTCACAAGCGTCTCAGACTATGGGATGGGCCGACATGCGTTTTCCCTGTGTCCTGGTGCCCTCGAGAACATCGAGACTTAGCTCTCGGGCGCACAACCTGGCGACTGCTATAGTGATCTACCTATACGTCGGGCCGACTTGGAACTCTACACCCGTATTTGGCACGATCAGCTATGTGTCTTGCAACACCGTTTTAGTCTCCTGGATGCCGACTCCTTGATTATCGTAGGATGTTGCTCGAAACCGCCCAATTTTGTTTGCCTGGGAAGAGGGACTTTGTCTGACGGATTATAGGCATGTTGGGAGATCTTCGGTGGACAGGTGCGTTCTAATACTTGTTGGTAAGCTACATGGGCCCTCAAAACCGCGTTTATTTCACTCGCTCCGTTGTAGTACCGGACCTTCAGCCCGGATGCCTCTTTCCGGCAGCCCACATGTCGACAAAAGCAGATAGGTATGGTCCTTCTACAACTCAGATTACTCGTCCATGTGTCCTCAATAATGGCTTATGATCCATTCAATGATTTGGCATTCACGGGGACCGTCAATCCACGCGGCAAAAGACGATTGTGGTGGGTGGCCCACTAGGCCGCTTTTTGCCATTTTGGGAAACGGCCGAAAGAAATCCGCGGTACTCACTGGAACATCTACCTAAATTCGTAAAAATACTTCTTCTCACTCATAGGATATGTACCTTGATATCGGACACCACACATCATTACGCCCCTCGCTTTACGGGCTGGAATAAGGGCAAAAATGCTAAGGTGGCCCAGTGCCCAGTTGAAAATAGTACCTGGAATAGCACTCAATAGTCGAGCTAAACACTCAACCGAGCTCACTCAGCTGTGCGAGAGTTCATTCAAAGCGCTCTTTAATATGTAGTCCTCGTCCCTGTGAATTACGGTTGAGCTGTTTTGCACGTAGTTGTTTTGGGCTTTCATAAGTTGCATTATACCAGTTTCAATCGGTTCATGGACTGAACCGAAGAAAACACTCGAGCTGGAATGCCAACCTTCAAAGTTTACTGCCGCCAAGTGCAGCCCCAGTTGCCGCCCCTTGTCACAGTCGGTCACAAATCATCGGATAAAGTGCCGCCCCCAACATTTCTTGTCCACCAGAGTGCCGCCCCTCGGAAAAAAGTGCCGCCCCCTGTGCCGCCCCCACTGCCGTCCAACCTGCCGCCCCCTGCCGCCCCTCAAGCTCGACTGCCGCCCCCATTGCCGCCCCCAACGACCTGTGTGCCGCCCCTTGGAGCATGATGTTGAGGTCGAAGTTCATTGTCCAGAACCATCTGTGGTATGAGACACTTGCTAACTATTATGTTCACACGTCCAACTAATCAATTCCATGTTCTAACGATCCATACAGCCAAAGGGACAGAAAGTATTGTCCGAGTGCCGCCCCTACTGCCGCCCCTGCGGGCCTGGGCGGCATTTTGCGGCACTGGGCGGCACTTTCACTTTGCCCATACCAATTCATACCTTCACCTAGAACAGAGTCGGGATCAAAATCAAACCTCGACCTAGGGGGGAAACGCACAAGCTGCAATGAGATTAGTCAAGTTACTCAATCTCGGTTTATCACTCACCGTCTGGAAAGAAAGACTCCAGTTCAGGAGTCAGTTCAAAGATGGGGTGACGCACATCCTGCGGGGAAATGCGTGTTATACACAAAGTATTTGGTTCGCAATTCCGCATGAATCACTCACAACCTATAAATCCGCGCAACTATGGAATCAGCTCCGTTTCCGAGGCAGGAAAATCACCCACGTCCTGAAAATGAGTTTAAGTTGAGCTGTCTCTGTGCGACGTGGTTTTTGGTGGTCACTCACGGCCTGAACTGCGGTTCAGGAACCTGGAGTCAGCAGTCAACAGCGAATGCGTACCACAATATTCATCACCGCAACCTATCGACAACTTCAGTTCCAGAACTCAGCTGCGAACCAGGCTGAAAATTACTCACGTCCTGGAAATGAGGCCACATTTTGCGGGTCAAGTCGTCGTTCCTGGTGGATTACTCACAGTCTAGACGATGATTCAGGCTGGATTCTGCAGTGGGTGAATATGAACCGTACCTTCGCATCCTGACACTGCAGACAGGTTCGATAGTAGAGCCCGGCGTCAAGCGTGTCAGGCTCCCGGTTCTGGAACAATCACTCACACCGACACCCTGGTAATTTCGGTGTCACCATGATGCGTGGTCCCTGATGAATCACTCACGCCCTGGAAATGGGTTCAAATTGGAAGGTAGCAGCCGATGAATCTATTCATACGAAGAAGCCCTTCCACTAGAAACGGATTTCCTGTTAGAATAAGACATCGAGCTCAGTACGAAAGAGCACTCACAAACTAGACAACACATCAAACGGTACTGTCAGATTTGTCGCTCCTTGACAAACCACTCACATGCTAGGAAAACTTAGCGGAGTTACATGGAGACTGTAAGGTACGCACCCCCTAGGGAAAACGCAGATTAGGTATGGTTTGTTACGCTCCGAAATGAGTAGTAAATGACTTACAATCTACAGATCATGATATGCCGGGGGTTATGATTAAGTACCGAGGAAAAGCAAAAAGAACACTCACGGCCTGGAAATGAGGCAGGGTCAAGGACTGGCCTCGTGGGCGTTGCTAAATCACACACCCCCTGGAACGAGAGTTCAGATTGGGAGTCGAAAGTCAATAGTGACTTCATCATACATAGTCATCGGCACAGGCCCTGTTCGATCGAGACTGTCCTTGATCCTTGCCAATCGTCACGAATCACTCATGCACCATATTCGAGCCAAGCCGAACACCACTTACTGTCTGAAGATAACGTGGCATTCGAAGTGAGACTCATGGGTTCATGAATCACTCACATCCTGAAAAGCCAGATTAATCTGGAAGTCGGTGATGAACAGATTGAAATGACTTGCCTCCTGCGAGCAAGGTGACATACATGAAGGAATCGACCTTGCAGATCACGTACAGTCTGTAGGCACAGTTCAGCTCTCGGAGTAGCTGAGTGAACGGCCGATTGTCAATAGCTCACAATCTGAAACGACATGCTATACGTGAGCAATTCAGCTTCACAATCGAGCCCAGGTGACTCACATCACTATTTGCCTAAAAGCACATTCGTTGTGAGAATCCGGCCCCGGAACATGCTTGAATTCAACGAGCTCACATCGCGCTTGGCTATATCCTTAACGTGGGCCTTGGCAGTAGGCAATGAGTACCGGATACGGTGATCAATAATGGAAGACGCATACCTTCGGGATCGCGGTCGCGGTCGCTGTGAACAGGACACTTGCGAGCGCCAGAAGCTTGAAGAGTTGCATTGGTGTTGAGAGCTGAACGAGGGTTAAAAGTGGAGGTGAAGAACAGCAGCAACGGTGGTCTTGCTATATACTGCTCCAACCCACCGTTCGCTTCTGAACGCGCGCCAATACCCGATGCCCGATAACGAAGCGGGACGTCCGAGGACGTCTAATAAGACGGTTTCAGGGCTCATGGAGTAGTGCGTTCTGAGGCAGCTATTCATTGAACTCTTGCTATTCTCGCTGTCTAGATCGGGAAGTGTCAGCGGTGGAATGCATAGGAGCGACGAATGCCTGAAGGAAATTTGATCAGGCACCAAACTAGTCCTCGCCAGCGGGCTGTAGTCCTTTGAGACCAATGCGCGTGCTGTCTGCCATGCGCTAGAAGACACATCTATCCAACTTGAGGCTGCGCGGGAATAGATATCTCACTGCGTTCCGACGCCCTGTAGACCCAGCGTAGTCCGAGGCGTGTAGATTGAGGTAGTCAGAGGGTAGAATGACCCCTCTGTCGACGTCAGACTCCAGTGTCGGTCTACATCGGACTACGTTGGTGTACATGAGTAGACGGACGTAGACCCAACGTAGTCCGAGGTGTCGCAGTGATTTGTTCAGGATGTTGGCTCGATGTGTCGAGAAATGCTATGGTCGGTCTACATTGGTCTACAAAGGTAGTCGCAGGTAGTCGGACTGTAGCCGAAGGAGGCTACGGGGGCAGTCAAAGCTTGTCCGAGGTAGTCGAAACTCGTCTCAGCATCGGTCTACGACCCCTTGTAGACCCACGTAGACCTATGTAGACCCATGTAGACGAAGCTCGTCCGAGGGTAGTGGGGGTCGGTCTACTTGGGGTCGGAACGCAATGTCTGTATTCAACCAGGCGTACGTCCGACGAGTCGGCACCATGCAGTAGCGAAACCAAGGCTGATTATGAAACAGACGGCAAAGCCAATTCCGTGTGGTCTGCAAAGAAAATGGCGGAAAACAAGGAATAAGACGGATCCGAGGAAGAGGCGCAAAGCAGTTGTAGATGCCCAGATCGGCGTACGCAGTGTAACGTCTGAGGACAATTTCGGGGGTCATTTAGTAGTGCGTTCTGTTCTGGAGTTAACAGCCATCTATGCCAGAGTACGACCGATGAACGACTAAATGAGCCACTTATCTTCCCAAAAGTTGACCACGTACTGAACTGATTCCTTTTTGCCCGGCAAGCGGTCGTCAGCGACCAATGCGCGTGTTGTCGGCCATTAGCTAGAAGATCCATCCGTGCAAGTTGAACCCACCGATAGTGAGCCGGGACATCCGAGGATGTTGAACGCTTTCAGCGGTCATCCAGTAGTTCGTTCTTTCGTTCTAAAGGCAACACGTCGTTGAGCTCCTGCTATTCCTGATATATATATTGAAGCACACCAGCGGTCCAACGGATAAAAGCGATGAGTGTCTCAATGAGTAGGAGTTGACGGCGTGGAGACTCACTTCGTCCTCCCCCTTTCCCCCGCCAACTGGCTGTGGTCCAGAGTCCTTGGAGACCAACGCGCGGCCTGCTCAGTGCTGGCCATTGATTGTAATATGCACCCAGCATGGGTGCGACTTGAAGCGCCGCCCACTTGCACGCGTACGAGCACTGATAATTTGATTAGCCACAATTCCCTTAGTCGATTAGCCACAATGCCGGTGATACATCGACACGACCCACGCTCCAGCTAGGACTTAGGATGACTGCCTCAATCAAATGAACGGCTTTGAGGAATTGACGACGTACCGAATTACTTTCTTCATCCTCTACTTGTCTGCGTCGAGCTAGCCACCTGCCATGGCAAGGATGGACGCCACGGTTTGGAAATGATGAACCGAGACAGAGACAAGACGGATCCAAAGGAATGAAGCGAGATGCCGACGTCCGCGAGGTTGCATGCCGCGTCGTGGCAACCCCCGTTCAAGTCATTAGCCTATAACAGAACGAACTTGACACTAGGTCCCAAGAGAATTTGACAGGCAGACGCGTCACGCGCGTCGAGTTGAAAAGAAGCTTGCCACCAGCTCAAATCCTTAGCGTACAAGCGGGGAGGATAGTGTAGCACTAAGTATAGCCAACGAGCCAATGATGGACCGCCGGAGATGAGCAGCGGTGACTGAACTTGACAACCCCCGACTCGGATTTGGCTGTTGAGTGACTTGAAGACAAGGCAAGAGATTCATTTCTAGAGAGATAGTTTAGCGACGAGAGGGAGGCGGAGATTCGACACAGTTCCTCTTCGGAGTGAGTACATCGATCTTATGATGAGTTCTTCGGTCCGCGATAGAAGAAGATTCAAACTGGCCGAATTGTCTGCATGGGATTCTTGATGAGCCTTTTGCCAACCTTAGAACGAATCCGATTGAAAGATTGAATCGTGCCCAAGACCAGAACGATAGCCCGCCATGAGTCATGAGTGGGGAGTCGGAGATGGTCCCCAAGGCTAAAGCTATATCAGGCTGAGGGAGTTCCGAGATAGAGCTTGATAGTGCCGAGATGACTGAGGGATTGAGAAGGAACCACCAGAATCCGAGTTGCCAGCTCGAGCTAGCTTGCTGCTTGTTGGCGTTGGGTGGCACTGCGCGATTCAGACGTGCGTCAGCGGGGCAATGTGGACTGGAAGTCGTGGACGTAGCTGCGCATGAGCCATCTCGACCGCGTCCGAACCTTCAACTCTTCCGACGTCCGGTTCCTCGGTTGACTTAACGCCGTGAAGGAGAAAGACTGCAGTGAAGTGGCGATGCATGGACGCATCAACAAACATCGCATCGGTCCGCCGGCCCGCCGCCCATTGGCCCACAAGCTCCCACGGCCACATCGCCATCGTGCCCGGTGGCCCAGCGCCTTCTACTGTATAAAGCCATGCTGGAACTTCCTGCTTTCCCCCACTCGCCCTGCCAGCCACGACCACGACCCTTACTTAGGACCGGTTCCTTCACTTTTTCACACTTTTTCTTGATTTTTCAATCTCAAAAGCATTGACGACTCACGAACACCACATTCACTGGGTCTTCACTTCGTCTAATCTCTCTAACGCCGTCTGCGATGATTTTCTCCTCGATCCTCAGGTCTGCCGCGGTTGTGTTGGCACTCGCTTTGCGATGCACACCGCGAATCGATGGCCTCGCCTGCGCTTGGCGCACCAGACACGCCAAGCGCAGTGACGTGCAGCGCCTGTTGCGACAACTCGCGCTCTGTCTCGGTGCTCGTCGACCCCACGGGCACGGGAAAGAAGTGCGTTGCAGCCAAGGTTACGAAGAGTGACAATGCCGTGCGTCTCCTCTCTCGTCCTTTCGTATCTCGTCTAATGCACCCGCGGCGAGCATCCGAGGACGGACGGCACCGACGTCGTCACGCTCTCCCGACCTGCTGGAACCCAGTACACGGGTGGCACGGACGGGAACCGGTGTCTTCTCGTGCGTCCTCGCCCCCTTCTTCGTTATCCTGACGTGCCATCGAGTCCGTAAAGTCCACAGCCGGCTTCGGCGGCTGCGTCGTCGTCACGCAGACCGCTCCTTTCTTCCTCTGCTGCTGGTGCCGCGCCCGCTGTGTCTTCCTCCCCCACGGATGTCTTCCCCTCCGCCTCCGCCGCCCCAAGAGCCAGCACTAGTGGCTCCTCGAACAAGAGCAAAGCCCAGGTGCCGTGCACGAGCAGCCGCAAACGCCGCGCCGTCGGCAGCCGTGCCCCGCGCGCTCTGCGTCTTGCTGGCTCCGTGTCAGGGTATGGGTCGGAGTTGGAGGGCTTGCACCCGCATCCGTTTTTCGCGAGTACGCCGCTTTTGAGTCCAGGCGGCGTGGCGGGTGGGCGCCGGGCGAGCTCAATGTTTGGACTGCGACAGACGTAAGATCTTGATGGTAGATTATGGTACTGTATTCTCTAGTGTACTTAGTGCTCTCCCTTTGTGTATTTCTGGCAGTGCTCTCTCTTTGTAATGCATAGCGCTCTCTTTGTGATGTGATGTATATTTTTTTTTCGCGTTGTTCTTGTCTGCCACGAATGCAGCGTTGGCGGCATTCAAAAATCATGCTAACATGCAAAAATGACGCGTTGTCAAGGTATACAGCCCTGGCGGGAATCGAACCCGCGTCGTCCACTGAACATAGATTTCCAGTAACACGAATCTACTTACCGGGCGTGATACGTCGCGCGTGTTCAAGTAGAAGAAGCAATCTTGACATTGGCTGCATGAAAAGCAGGAAGAAAAACAATTCGGGGTTTGGACAATGCCCTGACGGGATTCGAACACGCGCCGTCCGCTTAAGTTCGATCGTATAGCCAATGCAAACGGAGTATCTACCAACTGATCTACCAGGGCGTTGCAGTTCGGCGTTTTGGACTTGTGGCTCGGGGTACACAATTCATAACGCCCTCCGGGCACCCCTGGTACCTCCTGACCGACCAATACTTTGTTGCTAGTCCCCAGGATCCATTTTTATACAAAATCAACCAAGTACAATTCCACCCTGTCGTGAAGCACTCAGGAATAACAATATCAAGGAAGCATTATTCAGGCGAGTTTGACCCTGATGCGACAACAGGTTCGATATGGAATCCGGGAGAATGGAGCCTCAGCCTGGAGAGGCAGGACGACTCTCTGCATCAACTCTGCATTGCTTTTAGGACAATCGAGTCGCCATCGAGGGAACATCAAGGCGATATTCCAAACAGTTGTTGAGTTTAACTTCACGCTGCACATGCACAGATATAATGATGTTATGCACGAGAACCATGCAGGACGCCGCCTGATCGAGGCGAATTGTTTTGGGAGTTCAGTGGCTGTGGACGGTAATCAGAGAAGACGCCGTCATGATCGAGGCAAATTGCATTTTTGAGGTTTTGGACAGCGGGGTGTGTGGCTATGCTCGGACATCATCGACTGCATGTCTCGGATCTGATCAAATGCGATTTTTTTTCGGTAGACCTGGTCCCTAGGTCAGTACCAGGAACATCGTCCCTGTGCCGTACACCACTGTCCCGTCCATCCACGACTCTCGAGACTGGAGCTACGAAAACAATTCAACGTTGTAATTGAGGCGGGGCGATCCTGTTGATATGTACGAAGATGAAAAAAAAGGAACCTCATCGATCATGCCCTGGGCGGGATTCAAACCCGCGTCGGCCGCTTGAGTTCGACTATGTGGCTACTTGAAACGGAGGGTCTACCAACTGATCTACAAGGGCATGTTGAAGTCTTGGTTCAAGTTCGACTCCGTGGGGACACCCAGAGCCTAGAGGGCATTTATATTCTCACAATTTTTCCGCAATGTAGCTGGTGTTCATTCAAAGTGCAGGACACTTGGAGATACTTGAGATTGGGATAGAATGCTAACGGAGGATCTACCAACTGATCTACCAGGGCATGATAAGTGAGGCATTCAAGTTGGTGTGAGGCTCCACTTTGTGTCTACTCCGGTGTAACGGCGCACTGGAAAGGAGCCGTGGAATCAAAGACTCAAGATTTCAAGAAGCGAAGCGATGAAATCACAACACAACCCAAAAACCCTAAGATCTAATTTATATTTATCACAACTCTAGCTTCAAGTGTTTGCTTCAGCGCGCGTATGTGAGTTCGAGGGGATAAGACCAGTATAGTCTGTCCGGGACAATGTGCTTCGATTTCAAAAGTGGCCGGGCTAATTGCTTTGGAAAAGCTAGCGGGCTAATCGTCTAGTTGCTACTGCGGCCGGGGAAACCGTAGGAGACTTTTTATCCGCTGGGTAGGCGGTCGAAGTTGAACTTCGGAAATGAGGGAGAGCGGCACCGGCGGCTAATCTAGACCGTGCCAGGGACACTAGCAGCGGCCGGACGATTGACGAGGCGTCTTCAACTCAGACCCGACGGTACGACTAAACACGCCGGAATAGCCGGGCAGACTCGGATTCGAAGGCTAGGCTGGCAGACGGTCTAGTCTGGCGGACTTCCTCTTACTCTGACAACGGACACTACTTCGCGTTGGCTTCTTCTCACTTCAATGCTTCCGTCTTTCAAATCGTCTGGTTCAAACTTCTAGTCTACTATATGGCCCAAAAGTGGGGGGATAGTCTACTGGCTAATTACAGGGAATACGGAGCCTCTTTATACAAACCGCTGGGTCACAAAAGGAGATAAAAGGAAACTGTCCGGAAAACAACGTGGGTAAGGATCTTTGGTGTGGCCAATGGCGGCCGGGGTATTCTGAACCGTGGGTATCTTGTATCAGTCAGCGGGCAAAACCATATGGTCCGGCTGTGCGCCAAGAAGGTTGTCAAGCCGCCCGGGGAATTCTCCGCCGGTGGCAACTTCCTGCCCGTTCGTCCTCGGTGAGGGAACTTGGGAGTTTTACCCGCCCAAGTCTCCCCGCCTGTATCTTCTAGTTCATCTGGATTCTGGTTTGTTTCCTGGGCGCGCCGCCTGCCTCCTTCTTTGAGTCAGCGGCCGGGCAAAGCTGCTTCGGTCAACCCGCCGGGAACCATCGTTCCTTGATCGTGGATCCTCACGCGTGGGCGGCTGATTAAGTGCTCCGAAATCCCCGCCAGCTTATTAGGCCTTCCTGGGTTATAGATCCGGCGGGTAAATGAAGTTCCCGCCAGAATCTTATCTTCTAAGATTGCCCGCCTGTTTCACCAACGCTCCGCCCGAGGTGGGCGGCTCGCTCTAAGATAGTAGTTCCTCTTGTTAGCCTCGAGTACTCAAAGGTTCGGTGGTTAGCCGCCCATCTGAGCCGGCCGGTTAGGTGCATCGAAAACCCCGCTGGGCTAGAGGCCCAACGTTGAGTTCTTATCACGCATGTTTGCCCGCCCGCTTTCGACTGTCAGCGGCAAAGTATACCGTTCCGAGGAGAACGTATACTCTATAACTTCGCCTTACATTCCCACCAACAGGTGTTCAAGAATGCGAAAACCAACGGTTTTCACCGGTGGCTTGTCACCCACCATATCACCGGAACCTCGCTATAACACACAAATTTCCGGTCAGACGCTCTCGAAGAATCGTTTGACTCCTGAGGTCACACTGAACATTGCTCAGCTTTGATGGCGCATCAATTATATATCGTTGATGGCGCGTCAATTCAGACTTCCGTGTGAAGCGCTTCAGAACGTTGAGTCCCGTTCACTTTACCTTCAATCTGTTTAATGTTGTGCTACCAGTGCTAGGAATTGAAAAGGACAGAAGCATGTGCGAGAGTCAACCGACGGGACTTGAACGAACGTCTCCCAAAGGAAACCAAAGCGTAGAAAGGCATGCATGCCGGCAACGGAGATGATCCCTATTTGCTGAGAAAATTCTTTACCCCGTTGGAGGAGAAGAATGCTCGTAGAACGAGTTCGCACGATAAATCAGATCAAAACAGGCGCCATTTCAGAAGAGTAATATACATGGACATCCAAAATACACTACGGAGTCCAGAAAGGCCGCGACTGTAAAGGTTTTGGTCAGCGGGCTGCATTCAAGTGAAGGAAGGCATACCGCGAAGAAACCACCTCACGGGAGTTGCTGGAGCATTTTGACGTCCTGTGGTTCAAAACGGCCCCGAGGCCGTCCGAAACGGTCCAGAATACTGACAAGAGGTTTCAAGTTCAAGTCGGATTTAATGGAGTCTGTGCAAGAGCCACTTACCGCATTCTGGAAGCATGTTGTCGAAGTCCTTGAGTTCGCCATTGCTGGCAAATGACTCACAAACTAGAGCGAGGATCTTGAGATGCGGCGTCAAGGTAAGTTGCAAGTCGCTCACGTCCTAAAAGCACAGTAAATTTGGGAGTCAACATCCAATACTAATTCATACCTTGATCTAAAACAGAGTCGGGTTCAAAATCTAACCTCGACCTAGAAGGGAAACGCACAAGCTGCAATGAGATTAGTCAAGTTACTCAATCTCGGTTTATCGCTCACCTTCTGGAAGGAAAAACTCCAGTTTAGGAGTCAGTTTACAGGTGGGATGACGTACATCCTGCGAGGAAATGCGTGTGATACACAAAGTATCTAGTTCGCGATTCCGCATGAATCACTCACAACCTATAAATGCGCGCAACTATTGAATCAGCTCCGTTTCCGTGGCAGGCAAATCACCCACGTCCTGAAAATGAGTTTAAGTTGAGCTGTCACTCTGTGCGACGTGGTTTTGGGTGAGTCACTCACGGCCTGAACTACAGTTCAGAACCGGGAGTCAGCAGTCAACAGCGAGTGCGTACCACAATCGCCGCAACCTATCAACAACTTCAGTTCCAGAACCCAGCTACGAGCCAAGCTGAAAATTACTCACGTCCTAGAAATGAGGTCACAGTTTGCGGGTCAAGTCGTCGTTCCTGGTGGATCACTCACAGTCTGGACGATGATTCAGGCTGGATTCTGCAGTGGGTGGATATGAACCGTACCTTCGCATCCTGACACTACGGACAGGTTCGATAGTAGAACCCAGCGTCAAGCGTGTCAGGCTCCCGGTTCTGGAACAATCACTTACAGGGCCACCCTGGTGCAATTTCGGCGTCACATGCGTGGTCCCCGATGAATCACTCACCCCCTGGAAATGGGTTCAAATTGGAAGTTAGCAGCCGATGAATATATTCGTACGAAGATGCCCTTGAACTACGAATAAATTCCCTGTTAGAATGAGACATCGAGATCAGTACGAAAGAGCAATCACAAACTAGACAACAGATCAAACGAAGGAGTCAGATTTGTCGCTCCTTGGCAAACCACTCACGTGCTAGGAAGTCAGATTAGCGGAGTGACATGACGACTTTAAGTTACACACCCCCTAAGAAAAACGCAGGTTAGGTATGGTTTATTACGCTCCGAAATGCGTAGTAAATGACTCACAATCTACAAACAGGTTCTATGTCAACATAAAGTACCGAGGGAAAGCAAAAGAACACTCACGGCCTGGAAATGAGGCCGAGTCAGAGAGTGAGGCTCGTGGGCGTTGGTAAATCACACACCCCCTGGAACGAGAGTTCAGATTGGGAGTCGAAAGTCAATAGTGAATTCATCATACATAGTCATCGGCACATGGCCGTCTTTGACGATCCTTGCCAATCATCACGAATCACTCATGAACCAGCTTCGAGCCAAGCCGAAAACCACTTACTGTCTGAAGATAACGTGGCATTCGAAGTGAGATTCATGGGTTCATGAATCACTCACATCCTGAAAACACAGATTAATCTCAGGCTGGAAGTCGGGTGATTAACAGAACAAAATGACTTGCCTCCTGCGAGCAAAGGCATGAGATACATGAAGGAGTCGATCTTGCAGATCACGTACAGTCTGTAGGCGCAGTTCAGCTCTCGGAGTAGCTGAGTGAACCGCCGATTGTCCATAGCTCACAATCTGAAACCACATGCTATACGTGAACAATTCAGCTTCGCAATCGAGCCCGGGTGACTCACATCACTAATTGCCTAAAAACACATTCGTTGTGAGAATTTGCCCCCGAAACAAGCTGAAATTCACCGAGCTCACATCGCGCTTGGGTATATCCTCGAAGTGGGCCTTGGCAGCGGGCAATGAGTATCGGGTACAGCGATCCAGAATGGAAGACACATACCTTGGGGATCGCGGTTGCCGTTGCGGTGAAGAGGACACCGGCGAGGGCTAAGAACTTGAAGAGTTGCATTGGCGTTGAGGCTGAACGAGGGTTGACAAGTAGAGGTGAGGAAAAGCCTAATGGCTGATCCTGCTATATACTGCTCCAACCTACCGTTCGCTTCTGAACGCGCGCCAATACTCGATGCCCGATAACGAAGCGGGACGTCCGAGGACGTCTAGGCCGGTTTCAGGGCTTATGGAGTAGTGCGTTCTGGAGGCAGATGTTCATTTAAAGGCTTATATCTAGATTGGGAGGTGTCAGCGGTAGAATGCAAATGCCCAAATGAAATGTGTTCACACACGAAATTAGTCCCCCTTGCCAGCGGGCTGCGGTCCTCGAAGACCAATGCGCGTGCTGCCGGCTATGCGCTAGAAGACACATCCATCCAACTTGAGGCTGCGCCGGAATAGATATCTAGATCTGTATTCAACCAGGCGTACGCCCGACGAGTCAGCACCATGCAGTAGCGAAACCAAGGGCGATTATAAAATAGACGGCAAAGCCAATTGGCGGGGTTGTCCGTGTGGGTTGTAGAGAAAATGACGGATAGGAATAAGATGGATCCGAGGAAGAGGCGCAAGGCAGTTGCAGATGCCCAGATCGGCGTACGCAGTGT